GGTCGTCCGTGGGCCGCTCGCACGCATTTCTTTTAGGTAGTCGTCGGTCGCTTCATACCGAATTTTCGCTGCTTGCACGTCCGCGTAGTCTTCGTTAGTGAGTCCTCGTCGCCATGTTAGTCATGGATGAGCTCAAGAATAAGCGATATTAATTGAAACTGAAAGATTTAATCCGGATTAAAATGGATTACATTTCGTCGTGACGACATGACGTGGGCGAGTTCTCCCCGCGATGCTCCTCCTCCCCCCTCCACCACTCCACAGATGGCGCTAGGTGTCCGTCGTTGTGGAGCTCTCTCCGCCCTCCACAGATGGCGCTAGGTGTCCGTCGTTGTGGAGCTCTCTCCGCTAACAGTACAAAACGTAAATATCGAAGGAGCCTCCTCGCTAGAAGTTGTTGTGATTATGCCACTCTTCAAAGCATTGTTTTGGCTACTCCAAAAGGTGCTTCAAAGCGGTTTCGGCCAATCACATCACTGCTTTCTGCTGCAGTTATTATCAATATATTTTCCGCGCCGCCCTGCGATGCCGCAATACTCGGCAAATGAGTTTCCCAAGCAGTGAAGTGGTACGTGGAGCAGAACTCGGTGGCCACAGCACAACGAAACTTTCGGACCGCATTTCATAAACGCCTGCCTTCACGCGCGACAATTTTGACTTTGGCGAATCGTTTTGCGAGCGGAGAAGACTTTAAAAAGAAGAATCTATTCAGTGAACGTCAGAGCTCATTGAAGCGGTGCTTGCTGTCTTCGAGGGTGACCGGAAATTGTCAACATAACGAGCAGCCAGGTTGCTCGAAATTTCGAGAAAAAAAAAAGCGTACGACGGATTCTGCGTAAAAATAATTTTCGCCCGTATAGGACGCAAGTCGTTCAAACCCTGCACGACAGCGACAACGTCCGACGTTTAAAATTTTGCAAGGCGGAGTTGCCGCGAATTAAGAGCAACCCTGGGCACCTGCAGTTTCTTTTATTTAGTGACGAAGCAAACTTTCACCTCGATGGGCGTGTGAACCGCCAGAACAGCAGGATATGGACTCGCGATAGCCCTCGTGCCGTGGACAAACGGCATCTCTATTTACCGAAGGTGACAGTGTGGAGTGGGATTTGGCTTGAATGCATAGTGGGCCCCTTTTTTTTCGATGGCACTATTAACGCAGATGCCTACTTGGACGTGCTGAAAACGGATATGCTCCCTGAGCTTGAAAGGTGCCACATGACAAAGGAAAACTGTATATTCATGCAGGATGGGGCGACTTCCCATTGCGCAAAAAGTGTGAGGGCATGGCTCAAGAACACGTTCCCTCAGCGGTGGACGGGTCGGGGATCAGACTATATGGACTGGCTTCCACGATCCCCCGACTTCAATATGTGCGACTTTTTCGTATGGGGATTCATAAAAGGTCTACAAGAAGAGGATCCCCAGCATGGAAGAGCTGAAAGAAAAAAATTGAGGGTGCGTTCCTCGAGATCGACGATGGGATGCGCGAAAGGGCTTTCCTGGTGTACGAAGCTCGGCTTTGCGTGTCTAGTGAACGGCGGGCACATCGAAACGGCCGAACCCCAGTTGTTTAAAGGGCCGCTGCAGCATCAACATTATTTCAAATCGCCGTGAGAGAAGAGGCGTATCAGACGATGTATTTTTCAAGAGTAAAATATTGAACGAACGCACAACTCTCGTGCTGATTGCGGCACGTGGAGAGCAATGTAGAGGCTGCTGATAGAGGTGTACCAATGGGAAATCAGCAAAATAACGACTAGCTCTCTCCAATACCAGCCATTTTATCATTGGCCCGCCGAAAGTACTCTAGCGCCGTAAATATTGCTCCAATTAATATGATTTCTTTTTTTTTACCAATATGTCTTGCGCCATGTGTGTTAATTATGCCCAAGCTGCATGAAAAAAGATATTACTTTATGAGTTACAGCGGCCCTGTAAAAATCAAAATGAAATGATAACTCAAAATGAACTTGTCTGCAACGGTAGCAGCACCACTTGCTATTCCAGGTAGTTAATAAAGGATCTCGTCAAATCATGATGTCTTCTTGCTTGCCTGACGATCTCTCAAAACTTCACTTGAAACAGGTAATTTCAATAATCGTTGATATATTTCGTTAAAATCACTTTTCATCGCCATTATCTTGCCTGACGCCAGCCGATAGCCGATCAAAAAAGTCGTGGTATCGAATTTTTTATTTTCTTCTGTTCGCAGCTATAGTAAATGCGTTCATCCAAGTCAAGGAAACGACCGAAATGGTCGTTTCCTTGACTGGCCAGTGGCCAGTCAAGGAGTGGCCAGAAAATAATCAGTGACCGACGAGGTGAGGTTTTCGGGGAAGCAGCACTACCCCCAGAGGGTGACGAAGAGGCGCCGGTGCCTTTGGTGTTCAACGGAAAAAAGAGAAGTTCGCACAAGGTTGTTTTGTGTCGCCTGCGATGTTCCGCTGTGTGCGACATGCATTGTACCGTTTCATGCAGGGCCTGCTAATAAACAACTCAGGGTTGGAACCATAAAAGGTCATTAGGACAAATATGTCCCACTTTTTGGAATATGTGTTACTGCCAACTAGACACATATGTCCCACTTTTTAAAAATAAACCACATGTTCTAAATACTAAATACTCGCTAAATACTGCTTAAAATCATTGAATAAACTTGACGTCTTTTTTCTTCTTTCTATACAATAAAAGTCGCAAAAAACAATTTGAGAAATATGAACATCGTTCATCCCCTCAACTCGGAGCCAGAAAAAGCAGCCCCGTGGCCTTGTGCCTATCATGCTGCCAACCTTAAACATATATCCACGCGCTGGGGTCGTCAAAGTAGAAAATACGTGTTGAGCTCCAGTCACTGTTAGAGCTCGGCCATTTTCATCACCTCTGTGGTTCTACAATATACTGTGGTTGAGCACGAGCGACTGCCCGAATGCCCGCGGAGGCATTACTTGTTACGAGCCGAAGTCGAGTGCTCACAGTTCTCGCGTCCAATCCATGAGCCCCGCTTGAATGTGGTCAGGTGGGTGGCTCCGATCCCACAATTACGTAATCTAGCTTTGCGAAGGCGAGAGTGAAAGAAATTGTTCTCTTTTCTCCTCGCAATCTCATCGCGTCAAAGAACCTTCTGAATCACTGTCGGTTTGTGAGAGTGTATTTTGGCCAGACGAGGAGCAGTACGCCTGTGAAAAGTTATGAACATTCCAATTCAATTTCGTTTGATGACCCCGGGCTCATTCACACTGGAAGCGGATCCGCGTTCGCAAAGCGGTTGCGAACGCGGTTGTATAAGAATTCAGTACAATTGCACGCGCACACGATGACATCAAATGCGCGTGCAATCTCACTGGATCTTTATACAACCGCTTTCGCAACCGCTTCGCGAACGCGGATCCGCTTCCAGTGTGAATGGGGGGTAAGTTGTGAATGCAGCCAAGCGCGAGCTAGCCCGCGCTCCTGGCTCTGAGACTTGCATTTCTCGATCGACTGCTCGTTCTGCGGAAGGACGCTTTAAAGCAGCGACCGCGAGCTTTCATGCTTATTGCGCTCGCTGCATTCTCAGTATAAGCCGGCAGTCTCCTTGTTCCATCCATAATACCGGTGGCAGCTGTGCTAAAGTAGCTGTGCTACGCTCCTGTTTGTGGTACAAATGTCGCGTCTGTGCACGTGCCACGTATTTCGTTCTTTTTGCAAATAAATTGACAATAAATTACCTGTATTTTAGTCCAGAATGCGAAATGCATAGGTCGAAACTTCACAGGCAATAAAAAAAGCAAAAAAGACAAGTTTTGATATTTTCGAAGACTTGCCTCTTCGCATTCCAAGTTTCTAGATACATAATGCATCCAAGTCGCGATCTATTTTTTTTAAAGGATTATATAAAGGACTCGGGGTGTTTTGTTCTTATGTTTTTTTCTTAATTAGTTGACTCACATATTCTTATATTTATTCGAAAAGTGCCTCTTTCATACGACTTTGAAGTGTCATAACTCAGTTTGTTCATAGCGCTGCAACGACATTTGAGGGCAATCTACATCTGATCGATTTTTTTTTTTTTTAATTATGCTAGATGAAATAGGCTGGTTATTTGTAGGACTGGGTTTGATTGAATACATATTCAGATTTGTTCAGAATGAGTTTAAATCATGGGACTATTTTTAAGTTCGACTCTGTACGCAAGAATTATATTTCAGATAAAAGGACAGCTATTTCAAAAACGACTCTTTAATTACAAATTTTCTCGTTTTTATTAAAATCGTTTGCAATGAATGTAATTTTTAAAGGGTACTAATTGTCCTAAATATCAAAAAAGACTTATGTTGTAGCAGACGACGTGCAGTTGCGTCATCTTTTGAAAGGTGGCGCTGAAATTCGAGGTTGAGAAGATTAGGAAAAGGGACGGTGTGTCACTGACGCAGAGGATTTTTAAATAATTCCTCGCGCTTCTTCCTCGTTCTTGCAGTGAATCACAGTTCCTCTCGCGAGGAAAACGATTGAACGGACATGTGTCATTAAAGAAGAAAAACGTAAAGCGCGTACGACTCCGTCTAACCAATTGTCCACTCACATCGCAGAGAGAAGGGTGTGTGGGAATGGTGCGTGGATAAGGAGGGGGGGTACCAGAAATGTCTGCAAGCAGATGGAGTTCTGGATGTTTGCTGTCGCGACGAAGTCAAGCAGCGTGTCCAATATGAATTTGCAGTGCTGCGGTGCTCCCCTCGGGTGTATCCAGTCTCGAAGGATTCCCGAGCGCAGCTTGGGTTGCAGTTTTCCCCTTGCTTTTTCCTGCGCCCGGCTGAGCTCCCCACAGTCCTATGAGAGATGGGCACCTGTGGCTTGTTGTCCAGTTGCGCATCGTCTGCAAGATCCGTCGTCGGTGTGTTCTTTTTCTTAATCTGTCTTGAGCACACGTCTGTCGAGCTTAGCTCGGACTGCCGGGGAAACGGCAGTTCCGCTTCGGACTCTCCGAAGACGCACTGTAGCCCACCAACCATACCCGTTTGGCAATGGGTCATCGTCTTCAGGTAGCATATATTACGCAGGACCCTTCATCGGTCAAGGTGGGCAAGGGTCGTTTCCTCGTCCCGGTCGGTCTTTTCTTCATCTTCAGAGTACTCTTAAGTAAGTGCGGGCGGAGGGCTGTCGAGAATCGCTCTTTGGCCTATTGCGGAGGGGTAGGGAGAAGAAATGAGATCCCGCGCGGCTTCGTGTGCTCTCTCGTTCCCCTCTTTTCCGGCTCGGCCGGGACCCAGGAGATGGTGATTTTAACCCCTCTAGATTTAAAAGTCTTTTCTTTAACTTTTTTATTTAACCTTCTCGCTTCCGGCAAGTGGCAGGCCTCTTTCCAGCTCGTGTAAAGGTGTACCGTCTACACCTGTACACGGAGTCCCTGACCCCACAGGCTTGGAAGCCTGTGGGGTCAGGGACTCCGAATAATAAGGCTGTTAGCTCTACTTCTTAGTGTTTCTTGTAAAACGCAAAGTTTGCCTTGGATTGTGTGTTAAGACAACGCGATGCAATGGCTGTGACTCCTCCCTCTTCTCTGAAAGCTGTGTTGCAGACGTGTGCTGTTTCGGAGCCGGGATGGGCGTCCTGCACGGATTCCGCGTGTTTTTTTTTTTTTTGGCTGGGTTGTACTTTCTGGCCTTCTGGTCTTTGTCCACGTTCTGTTTGAAACTGAGATGGTCCACCAGTGTGCTCTCAGAAATTGGGAGTGGACAGGGTACACTCCTTGTCCCATACGTAACACCTCAAAACTACGTTTCGGCGTTCTGTCCACCGACGTCGAGCTGGCGATACCAACTTTTACGAGCGGTTTAATAGTCGAGAGATACAACTTATTAAAATAGCTATTGTACTCATTAAAGGCTACAGTAAGACAATAAAGGTTATTTTGGCCCTGCTCCAAAACCTTATTGAATTTTTTTTTGTTGTTGTCTCTAATACGCACCTTAGCTATTTAGTGCGTTATATCCGACAGCTATCAAGCCGCTCGTAGAAGTGGGTATTGCCAGCTCGACGTCAGCGGACAGTACGACGAAATGGTGTTTTGATATGCAACATATGTGCCAACGGGTGTACCCCTGTACACCCCCCATTTCTAATGGCGATTTTCACTGGTCGTTTTGGAGCGCGCCGGGATCAACTTTTCTGGAGCGAGCCTATTTCACTGGGCGATCGGGATCGAGACCGACGTGTTTCACTTGTCCGTTTTGGATTAGCTCCCGCTCCAGATCTCGATCTGGATCCGAGAAAAGTCGCTCCCACAATTTCGGCGGATTCAACCGGAAGCCAGCCGGGCCAGCCCTCGGCGCACACACGTGACTTCCTTTCTCGCGGGGCATCTCGCCTGATCTCGCCCATCTCGCCTCAGAAGAAGAAGAAGAAGCACGTCGAGGGCTGGGCTCCTAGATTGTCTCGAATTCAGAAGAATTCGTAATGGCCGCTTGCTTACCCCTTGGCTCGACAGCCGGTTCGTTTTGCCGCGCTACGGGCATTCCGGCAATCTTTGCTAGAAGCGCCTGATCCATTCCTGCCGCTCGTGCGTCGAATACGTGTTAGCGCCGCGATTGCAAAAACGTCTTCGAAATGACCACGGGGGCCGCGGAAAGAGGATTCCCGGGCAATTGAATGACGGGAAGGCATCCGCCGATCCCGGAGCAGTGGTCATGTTCCACAGGGGATCCGTAGGCGGCACGACCACGTTCGGATCGTGCACGTGCTCCAGTCCGGATCTGGTCAACTGATCCCGGAGCGCTCCAAAACGCCCAGTGGAATTCGCCATAATGGCCGGTTCACACTGGAGGCGGATCTGCAAACGCGAGGCGGTTCGGGTCATTTCCAGCCGCAAAAGCGGCTGGGGCGGCGCGGTTGGGGCGCGTTTTCAGGATCGGTCCGAGACCGAATTTTCAGAACCGCTTTCGGCGACCGCGGAGCGGTTCCCGAAAGTGGGCCAATAGGAACTCGATGCTGCCGTGACGTTTGGTTGACGTCACGCTAGCAGACTGCACAGTCCCAAGATGGCGACCGTTCGAAGCACCGGTGCAGCGGAGTCGGCGAAAAAGAAAAAAACATGCGGTGAAGACGGAGGTCCTATTGGACCTTGTAAAGCAGTACCCCTGCCTTTATGACAAACGACATCCGAAGTACAAAGACAACGCTTACAAGGACGAGCTTTGGGGCAACCTCGGCGTGGATCTCGGCGGTGTCGAAGGCATGTACTTTTTTTGTTATCGGGAACGAATATTCTTATTTGGCTCGGATTCTAGTGTCCTCCAAAGCGCTCAAACACTCTTCAGCTGCGAGTTAGGAAAACTACCAATTTCGGTGTGATGTGCTATGCCAAGACTCAGCTGACCGAGGGCTATCGCGCAAGCGAGCATCTGTTGGTAACGCGCACGCGACTTTGGAAGGAGTCCCCGGTGCACGAGCGCTCGTGCAACGGTAGCGCTGTTGAAACCTCGGGGCACGCGAACGGAGTATAGATGGCACCTCCTCCGAACGAGCATATTCATAGACCAGCGCTTCAGTAACCATCATTCAGCACTTTGTAAGCAGCGTCAGTGTTTGAGCCGCAATTCTTACAATGCATAGATGTGTTTTGGTGTCAAAAGTTAGTGCATCACGGTTTCATTTTTTTTCAGGAAGTGTCTTGGCGAACAAATTTAAGAATGCCAAGGACTCATATCAAAAGCAAAAAAATAAAATATCTGACAGCATGAAGAGTGGTGCTGGGGCAGGGGAAGTTATCAAAATAACTTTGCCCCACTACATCCAAATGATGGAAATAATGGAACCAGTGTCGCCCACTCCAAGGTATGTACTCGTACCTCTTTAAAAATATGTGGAACTTTGTGACACAAAGGCACTAAATCACCCGCATGTCATTTCAGCCTCCACACAAACTTGGATTTTTATGGTGAGATGAGGTAGGTTTTAGTTGATTAAACAATGTTAAAAATATACGTAACTTGTTCTTTCTACATTTGTTTGCTGTCACATCAATTCACCATGACGATACTTAAACAACAGTGGCACCAGCAGTGGCACCAGCAGTGGCACCAGTGGCACCAGCAGTGGCACCAGCGGTACCACCAGCGCCCTAATGAAAAATACACCAGGCATTCCTGGTGTGACATCAAAGAATCCTGATGTGACACCAGAATATCTGGTGTGCCCACCAGCGATGCTGATGTATCGAGCACACCAGCCTGGCGTGCCCACCAGAAATGCTGGTGTACCCGCACATCAGCCTGATGGGTACACCAAGGGAGTCTGGTGTCACATCACAAGGACTCATGCGCCGACCAGGCAGCCTGGTGTGCACACCACGCAGTTTGATGTGACACCAGAGTTGTGTTTTCGTTGACTTCTCCCCCCGGTCCGCGCGCGTGTTTTCTATTAGTTTGTGTGCGGCTCCACTCCGTCCCCCGACGGGGTGCCTCGTTTCCCCCTTCTTGGTGGTCGCCGGAGACCCCGCGGCGAATTCCTTTGTGCTCAAGAAGTGTCCCCCTCGTCCCGAGCACTTTCCCGGGCGGCCTTGAGCAGCTTGGGGCGCTCGCCCGCTCGCCTCTTCGAGGGTTTCTCTTTCCCTTTCCGCCGGTATTCTTGTTTAAGTTTGAGAAAGTAAAGAAGTCTTCTTTGTGAGTCGAAGCCGAAAAGATGTGTTGGTGCGCTTTCCTTACTTCCGACGAGCTTGGTTTGGTAGCAAAGCAACAAAGGAAGCTAGTAATTATTACAGTTTTTGGGGCCGAAATGCCTACTACGAGCGAGGAGGGCGTCGACCGCCTGAAGCGAAAGAGGATTACCCTGCGAGCCGCCACAACAAAGATCATCAACGAGACTGGCGTCTGCTGGCCACGGATCCAACCGACATCGGTGAGCTCGAAGAAACATTTGATATTCTTCTACTTAGGGAGGCTTCCCTGAAAGAGCTGGACAAGGAAATCGAGCTATCTGTCGAATATGATGCCTTAGAAGAGGAAATTTCTGGTGCGGAGGGGTACGCGGAACGTATCAGCGTAACTAAGACACGAATCAACCGCAAGCTGAAAGGCCAAGAATTTCGGAACGACAGGGCGTCCGGTTCTTCGACGCAGGGCAGTGGCTCCGGACAAACTCCAGTTGATCACGGCCAACTCCCTACAACAGTAAAGCTTTAGAAGCTTTACTGTTGTGAATTTTTTTTGCTTTTTTGAATAAAGTATTTATGGCAGCAGCGTTGTTGTCAAACTTCTCATTGTACGCTTTTTTTGTGAGTAAAGCAACACCCAGTCAACAGGTGGTCTGGTATCATATTACAACAAAACCTGATGTCCGGCCAGAACACCAGATTTCTGGTGTAACATCAGAACACCAGATTTCTGGTGTCATACCCACACATCAGATTTCTGATGTCACAACAGAACACCAGGTTTCTGGTGTCACACCAGAAAACGTCCCAAATCACATCTGTGGAAAAGCCTCGTGTAACATCAAGTCACACCAGCCCTCGAGCTGGTGTATTTTTCACTAGGGCGGTACCACCAGTAGTACCACCAGCAGCACCAGCGATGGCAGTGGTCACCTGGAGGAAAGAAGGTTGGTATCGGTTGTTCCAGTATTGTGTTGAAGATTGATATATTTAGGTGGACGCAATTCTTGCTTTATCTACAGGGCTGATGAGCAAAATGACGACCAGTGCGAGCCGTGAGTTCATGATGACACTTTTTTTTATTAAAGCCCCACATATTAAAACATAGCTTCATCAAAATCCCCTTCTTTGCAGGCCCGAAGAACGGAGAGCATCGGGCGTGACAGGCGGCAGCCCAATGTAAGGTTTCCTCTATCACAGTTTGATTGTTGATATAAAAAATTAGCATTCATCCTCAAGGATATCATTTAAATTTACAATGAATGTCACACGTGACCACGCTACACTGATGCCCTAAAGACATGCAGAAAATAAAACCTGTATGTACAAATGCAGGCAAAATGAACAACAGCGGGCACGTCAATCACCTGCCAGCAAGTCAAGGTAAGCAATCTATAAAGTACTTATTCTGAGCTTGTTTCACACAAATTTGTTATACCAGGCCAGAAGAGAGCGGCTCTGGTACACAGGACGCCATCGGTGCCTGTGTTGGCCTACTGCAGAGCATTCAGGAGAGGCGTACCAGGAGGGCCGAGAACTGCCAGGACGCTGTTCACCATTTTAGCATGTCAATCGCTGGTCGACTGAGAACCCTCGATGAGCGGAGCCAGTTGCAGGCAATGCACCAAATAGAAAATGTTGTTTTTGCAGCGCAAATGGAAGCCATCTGTAGGCAAGAGGCGGAGTCCTGAACAAAGAACAAATAAATCACTTGTAACAGCAGTTCTTTTCATTAGTTCCCACTAGGTCCCATGACCATGGTGTCCTGCCAGGGGACTGCTCCTCCGTTCACGAAGTGGTGGGTGAGCTTTGCCCGCACCCTGTAGGCTTCCCTGTAAATAGAACAGCCACACCGTAGACAATGCAAGGTTAAGAGTGCAGTAGAAGCATCGCCTCCAGCACACACTCTGTGGCTTCCGTTGCGATTTAGCTGTGCGTGCGTGCTTTTGCTATCAAAGATAAAAAAGTTTGCACTGGAAGTGGGGCTTTGAGCTAATGTTTAGAATGTCATAGACTTGCAATTATAAAACTTCTCGATTTGGTTCGGTTTCATCACTATTCGATTCGGTTACAAAAAACACTATTTGCACACTTTTAATTATTAGAGATGGTACTTCTTGTGGGAATTGTCGACAGAGTCTCAAGTCCTACATTTGCTGCGTATACTAGCCCGAGATTGACTTTAGCACGGATAAAGCAACACAGTGAGGAAAATGGAACATGCCTGGTTGAATTGTAGCCAGTTCTGGGGAGGGCTTGAAGTGTGGCATTCTCATTGTCAGTATCGCCCCTCCAACTGCCACTGACGCTCCGTCCTTCCCAGTCTTCATGGTCAGCTGTGCCGGGAGGGCAGTACGATGTGGCTGATACCTCCGAATCCTTTAAAAAGAAGTTGTGGAGCACAACGCATCCCGCAACAATCTTGTCTGTATTTTCTTCGTTGGCTCGGAAGGGTCTTCTCAAGATGCGCCATTTTTGGGCAAGGATGCCGAAGGCGTTCTCTACTACTCTCCGGCCACGACTGAGGCGATAGTTAAAAATCTTGCGCCGACGCCGCAGCTCCTTTCTGTTGGCTTCATCATTGTCGGATAGGTCTCCAGCGTCGTCGTCCGGCAGTTGCTCGTCTACTGGGTCACCAGCTTGGGGAGCGCTGGTCGAAGGGCGAGCTGCAGACTGCTGTCTTTCCTCAGCTGTTGGGATGAGGCCTGCAAAATAATAACCAATTTCTTAACCTATTGCCTATTAATTATAAGTCTCTGTGGTGTCACCCTTTACAGACCACAAATAACGTCCACAAGCCTCACTTCCACAAGTCTTACCTGTCAGGCAGACAAGAATCACGAGAACAACACAAAGGAAACGTTTGATGTGTATGACGGGGTGCTCTTATAACCTGGTCTCGGTCAGAAGAAACAAACGGGCGTACATTTCTGGAGCTTTTGGGTCATGCTAGCAAATAGTGCCCAGTAACATTACAGACATCAGTCAACAGTAATAATTTAGTTGACATCTGTCCATCGCTTCACCGACATAAAGAAGAGTGCTATGCACTCATGGCCGAAACAAGTTCAATTGATCCCTACCATGCCTACATCTGATATACCGCTGCCGTTATAATCCTTGGGGGAAGGTGTAGCATATGATATGAGCCAACAAACCTCATGAGGTTATTAATGAGCTGGCTATAATGGCGACCGAAATCAGCTGTCGTTAGCATCAACTCTCAGCAGCATGAGTGTTCAACATTTTTTTTTTACAAATTTAGGTTACGTTCAGGGGTTAGCAGGTTCTCAAACAATTTATGTTGATCCGCAATTAAATGTGTCTTCATCCGTTATGCATTTCGAATCCTTGCAAGACATAGACCAAGTTAGACATGAAACAAAGCAACACATTACTTACTTTTCCTCGGGTATGGCCTCATGAGGTAGGGTTTTAGGGGAAAGGCCTCATCCCCAAGCAAGAAGTATGGCAGGTCCCCTTCCTCTCCAACTGCCGCTGGAGGAGGCAGCCCCTGCTCCCCACAATTAATGCGCCGCTGAAGCTGGCTGCGGGCGAAAATTCCCCCGTCGCTCTCACTGCCATGGTGTCCTATTTCAACATAGAGAAACCTGAAATTAAAAGGTACTATTAACACAGAATGTATTATTTGAGGCAGCTGCCTGTATAGTGTATGAGCACCCCTGTGCTGCACACCCTTCAGGGCTTGTTGAAGGGATTCCTGGTGGGAACTCCACTCAGGTGAGCAAAACTCTAGACGAAGTAGTATCAATGCTCTTGGCGGCATAATGTGTGCAGCATGGGCTACAGAGCCTAGTTTCCGTCGCGCCTTCACTAAAATTTCCCTTAAGCGCCTTGTAAAGCTTGGGTGGCTGTCGAAATTCGCTAAACCTCGAGTGGGGGTGCAAGCCGAAGCTAGCGTCTCGCTGTCGCACACACCAGCTCTGACCATAGTACTTTGCGTCTCCCGAGTTTCCTTCCAAGCATGTGATTGTCCTCTCCCCTCGCCCCCTCAACACACTACCACAATTTGTGAACAAGTATTGTACAGATATTCTACACAGCCACACTTCCTTCATGTGCACTGTCACCACGGAGCTTTCAACACTGGCTTCAATGCCGCCGGAATGGAGGTTTGAGACCGAGCACTTCCACGCGTTCTTTTTATAATAGGATCTTTGTGTGATGCACTTCCGTTACTAAGCGGTGCATCACAAGAAGTGCTACGAGCTAGCCTCAGTACATTATGTTTATGTTAAAAGCAGTTTTGAAAAATATCAGCAGGAATCAACAAGTGTTCAACAGTTGTACTTCATGGTAACATACCCTACATTCATAAACATGACTGCATAAAGTTTTACGCACAGAGATGTGTATGTGTGTATGCTGTAATTGCACCATAATGGGGAATGGTTTCAGCAAACATCAAAGGAGGTCAAGTATTACCAATAACAGATGAAAACAGCCGTACACGCAAAGTGTCCTTTTTGACGTAAGTCTTCCCACCTTTCACTTGAAGCTGCTTGTGTACCCTTCACTGGGCAATTTGTCTTTAAATCACCTGCTTTAGCAATAGAAGACTCAAAACTTGCCTGTATCTTGCATCGCTAATGGCCAGCAGTGACTTGCTGAAGGAGCCTTTATAGTTGTGGTTAAGGCTGCCAGACAGCTTTGGGCACTCAATGATAACGTGCTTGCCGTCAATTGCTCCTATGCAGTTTGGGACATTCCATCTGTCTTCAAAATCAGCAGCGACCTGTGGCAAAATAGATCCCCAGTAGTGTCTTAGTTTCCTCAAAAGCCCATGAGAGTTGAAGCATACTAGAATACTTACAAGAATTTTGCCCAATTTTCGTGTTCGTCATTTTTCAATGCAATGTCACCAGAAATCATTGGCAATTATAGCCTTTGATTTCTGGTGTTAACATGATGGCAGTTCATGGACACACACTTTTATGTGTGTGTCCATGAACTGCAACCTCTACTTCCGACTTCACTCCAAGGCTGCCCATTTAGTCGGCTTGAGCTGCTATGCCGCCTCCTCTAATTCCTACCATCATGTTTTTACCCATCATCTTATTAGCTTTGCCCACTTTTTTAATGTGATAGTAGCGACCGGGGCAGAACATTAGCTCACACTTTTCTGTAATTACAGGGAACTATGTTGAACTGTTCCATAGCTTTTGAGGAAATTAGGAAATTTTTTCAGAACATAAAGGTCTAAATTTTCAGCTGTTCTAGCATGACAAAATTAATTTTACTGCCTTCGTAATGCACAAAATTTTGCAAAGTACTCACGTGTACGAAAGAGACATTGAGTAAAGCTACTTACAAGTGCATAATTTTGGGGCATTTAGTAGGCTAGAGTAAAAAATTGCATACCTTTTTCCACTCCTCTGGCTGTTCCGGACAGGCTACGTAAAGAGGCCCAAGCACCTCCCACAGGGCGGTACACACCTCGGAGACAATTCCACAGCAGGTCGACCTTCCGATCAGGAAGTTGAAGGATGAGCTCCGTAGTGTCTCCCCAGCACCAAGAAATCTTGTCAGAAAACAGAGAAATGTTGAAAGCAATGGTTCAAGAACTTTACATATCATATGGTTGGCATTACTGATTGTATGACAAGAATTCAGTCACTGAGGGACACTTCTGTCACTAGTGCACTTTTAACTTCTTCCGAATTCAAATATCTCATAGCTGTTCAGAAAATTGGATAACTGCGTCAAGCCTGCAGCCGAACGAGCTGTTATAAATTGTTTCTTCAAAACCCTCTACGTGACTCTCACTATTTGGTACACAATTTTAAGCACAGTTGATGGTATCATTATCGCTTGGTTTTGCGATATTTTTGAATTTCGAACATTTGTGTCAACAGCTTAGTTTTTTGGACGTCGAACTTTTGCGTCAACAGCTCAGTTTTATAGTATAATTTCTTGGATGTTAAATTGTTGCGTCAAAAATCCGTACTGACTTACGCGCGTGCGATTATTGTTGGAGTTATTACCTAGATTTCCTACCATCGGGCAATCAATATCATTCTCTCTATTTCTCTCGCAATTACCTTATCGTTAGTGCGAGGCGCACGTCAGGAGGAATGGCCTTCCGGAGGTTCGGGTCCTCTTTCTTGATCCGGTCGCGGACCAGGTCCAGGATCGTGTCAAACGCGCTGGGAGGCATCCTGAGGAAACTGATGGAATAATGTTACACTTATTCTCGATCTGCTACGCTTTCTTTTTATGAACACGTAATGTGAACATAGATACATCACTTACTCGCGGTAGTACTCCACGTCCCGTGAACGCAACAGGGGAACGAGGCTCGTTCCCTGTCCCTTCTCGTCTCTTTCATGGAAGCAAGGGCGGACCCACCATCTTCTGGGACGTTTGCGCTTATCCCTGCCCTGAGACGCCAAAACAACTGCAACTAGAGCTACACCAGCAGCCTCTTCGTCGCTGAGGTCCTCATCACTGCCGCTCGCGAGGTGTTCCATGCTTGTTTTTGCGGGAGGCTTCTTCTTGGATTTGAATTGGGAACACAAGTGGATTCTGGATTGTGAAACAGGGTTGCCACTCGCAAGTCTCGTAAACCCCCCGAAAGGATGCGTGTTCGCCGAGAAACCGCCCACCGCGTCCTTCGAGTGTGAACAGGGCCGCTTTCGAACCGCATCCGCAAACGCTTCGCAAACGCTGC